ATCATCGCCAATCAATTTGTGCGCTCAAGGGATGGCGATAGGTTGTTCAACTTGATCAATTAACTTGCCGATGAGATCTTAATTGAAAGCTGAGCACGAGCCGGGAGCCGGTGGCCGATTCAACTTCTGTGATCAATGCTTTCTTCATAAGGCAAAGTATAGCAGTGGAGTAGATGAACGAGTCAAATTTCAGATTCTACTTCGAGAATCGTGAGCAGTTTACAGTGGAGCAAACGACAGCGTTGCGAAGGATAACCTTCTCGAGTGTGTTGTGTGCCACTGGGGACGATATTCGCTTGTTACCGAGGCATTCGTTTATTGTTGGTAATCAGTCTTTGATTCCATGCGAATTAATTCCCGTATTGGATCTTGAACCGTGGCGAGAGTAACTTTTAACGATAAGCTTTCCATCTGCCTCAAATCAAAGGAACGTTGTTGTGTGGAGTCAAGATTAGAATGCAATAGCGAGAATTTTATCAGTTCTATTGTTATCTTGCCATTATAGTGAATAATTGTTATTAATAAGATAAAATATCTTCGACGTTTCATCACGTCTGACGTGTAAACACGTATTGAACCCTATCGCATAAACTCAACATCGCATAAAGTGATTACTGTTAAGGTTGCTATTCATATTGTTATTGTATCTCGATTATGATATTACTCACTTGAAAAAGTTCAAAACCATATCTGACTATAAGCTATTGCATGCTCCCACTTTCTCTCAGCCGAGGCTGAGCTGAGATTCAAATCCTACTTGTGCTTAGGCTCAACTTTATATCCTGTGAAAAGCAATGCGAAATCTCTAATTTCGGATGCAGTAGAGCTAAAACAATTGATCACATTGTCCACGAGTTTTTGCAAAGGATATGCGGCTAATACAAACCAAAATTTTTCGATATCTGAAAAAACGTACTCGTTTTATCCTATGTTGATTGCATAAAATACACTATGAAGATGGAGCCAGGAAATGAAACTGTTGAGAGTTTTAACAGTGCTGAAACGGCAGATAAGCGAGAGGTAATTCCAATTGTAGCAGTTCGATGCGTTTGCCACGTTCAAGCGTTTGATTTGTGCAGATCAGCACTATGATAGTAATAGTGATCAGTGGTTCAGTGAT